CGGTGGATTAAGTAAAAAATGAAAGAAAGAGATGCACCAGAATAAGTAAGATGTGAGGAAAATAAAAGTATTCCAATGTCATCTTGTTTGTACACATAAACATTTTTAACAAGGTATGAATAAGTTATTCATTTTCCAAAAAAATATCTAAAGATTTTTATTTTTTCTTGAAAACATTTTAAAGTGCTCTGCCATTTCAGCAAACGAGCTTATTTTAAAAAATTCTTAGCTACGTCACTGCTCCCGTCCGGATAAATTAATCATTTTTTGAAAGAACCGTTCAAACACAGGTTCAGCGCCTAATAGACTGTCTGGTTGCTGTGCTTTACCATGCGCAACTTGGCCGATGCAGATGACGAGCGTCGCTTGCTCAAATTTGATTTCGTCTTGAGCACGTGATGGAACATGCCAAGTGCTTGTATAACCTGTTTGAAATAACATAACATTAGAAATCTCAGAAAAAAATATTTCTGTTTGGGCTAAAAGAAATTTTTTATACGTTTTTTAAATTACCAATCAGTCAAAAAGACAAAAAGAAGATCAGGTTCGTCAGCAGGCGGACCAGTCGGCGATACAGCACTGGTCATAACAACTGAAAAAGTTGACAACTGCATAAATGGGAAATCGTGCTGTCAACCGCCGTTGGTTTAGGGAAAAAGATAAGTCAGTTTTCTCCTTGCGCATTTTAATTCTCTTCACTCGAGCAATAGTAGAGGTAAAATCCGTTCGCATTTCTAGAAGAAACCGAGACAGAGGAAGGTGGTACAGCACGTTGTCTGCAAGATGTTAAGAGCTACCTTACCCATGAGATGCTTAATGTATTATACAAGTGAAAAGTGAAATCCGACTTTCTGTCATGCTTCAGTACCATGTTAGCATCGAAAAAGTGACTAGTTTTTCCATTAACTGAGTCAAACTGTAAGCTCAAAGCTGAAAGCACGCAGCTCGCTACCGCTTCAAACCAGCCCATATATCATTACTATCAAAGTCACAATAATTTCACTCAAAAATTAAAACCTCCTGTTTTCATTCTCCAAGAGAAGCGGAAACACTTGAAAGTAACCCAAGGGTAGCATTTACCAACAGCAACCATTCACTAGCAGCCGACTGTCGATGGCTTTCTCTTTCGTGGGTTACTCAGAAGTTAAAAGCGGGTTTGACTCCTTGGTATATACCAGTACCAGTTTACCATCGAAACAAGTGAATAAATCGTAAAGGGATTAGTTGCTTCATTAGCGGCGCCGAATCCCCCGGACTCCTGCATAACAACAGTGATTCTCCCTATTGTTCCACGGCAGCCAGAAATTTCATTAGTTTTAGAGCTGGAAAAACAAAATCGCTGGCTAAAGAAGACTAACATTATCTCGCTGGTCTGCCGGAATTGTATTTAAGTATTTGTCCGAATCAACTTTAATCATCACCTGAAAGCTGGAACAATTGCTTCAATGTGACATATCCGACCGCTACCAGTTGAAGATATGGTAAATTTAATCTTGTCAAGTAAATAATAAAGGCTAATCTAGGATAACCAAAATCACTAATTAAAAATCTATGATTTTCAATAGAATCTGCATTTCAAAGGTCGAAATTTTGGCTTTTCTTCAAGCAGCACTGACGAAATTTTGCAGCGATTAAACACAGTTTCAGATTTCGTTTCGAGCCCAAAAATTAATAGTCAAATAAAATTTGCTTAAAAAATTCGGAGAAAAAGGAAATGACAGTGCCTACGACCTTCTGAAAGTAGTTTTCTCATCATTTTTTACAAGATCGGAATTCTTGAAGAATTTCTGCTGATCATATTAAAACTTCTTTAACACTTGCTCCCAATGGTGGATAGTAGCTCGCAGTCATGCAAACAGCAAACGTTTGCAGGGCTGTCGATGGCTCCCTCCTCCTCCAGATGCTTAGAAACAAGCTGATGGTGGGTCTGATTCCTTGCCACATGCCAATATCAAATTACCATCGACAAGAATGAGTGAGTTGCAAAGCGATTGGTTGTGTCGTTGGCGGAGTCGAGCTCTTAATCTCTTGCACAACAGTGGCGACACCCACTATACCTACCACTGCACCATTTCTTGATTCTTAAAAGTTGCCAGATTTTTTTTTCAGCTAACAATAAAAATAGATTCAGTGATCTGTGGGAAACTTTGCGAAATATGGTTCATCAAATTGCGAGAGAAAAGCACTCAGAAGAATAACTTTTTGCATAAATAGAAGTGCGAAAAAGAATGGAAAAAGTTTACATGTGTATGTTCAGGATTTTCCGAATCCTTCACTTCCACTCTTCTCACTCCCTTTTTCGTCCGTTTTTCACCCGCGCGACTTTCACTGCGCGAAATTCGATCCTGACGACGATTTTCAACTTCTTCAATATTATTTTGCAACTTCGGATCTGTCGCTTCTGTTATTATGTCGTCCAAATCGTGTAACACTTCGTAAAGCATTTTGGGAGAGACCTGTAAGGTGATGCTTACATAATTTCTTGGAAAAGAAAAACCCAACTTTTCTCTCTTCCTTCCAAAATTTTTAGAAAAAATTTGACTATGCCCACCAGCGCAGTGCTTTTACGAATAGCATTCCACAGCAACCAAAAGACTTCGATTGAGCAAAGAATTTTGAAACACACTGAATTAGCTTATTTCCTCAAAGAACAAAAATCATCGAAATTTTTTGAGAACCGATTACTAACATTGAATTCCTCAGCAACAATATAGAGCAGCTCGGATACGGACATCCTGGTACCACCGAACCACACCTCCACATGTGCTGCACCACTGAAATTGCGCCCTAGGTAATGTAATTTCCGCAAGTAATTATACAGTGCTGCCACAAATGTGACATAATCACCTGCAAAATGATTTTTTTTAAATATCAGTATGAAAATCGTGAGCCTTCTGTTGGGTATATCATTCCAGTAACATCACTAATGTGGGACACCTAAACTGATAGCCGGATTAAAACTG